AATAAATATTTAAACTTTAGTTCAGATTAATTTAAACTGTGTGGGGAAACATATACACTGTGTGTCTACAGAATCGAAAAAATGATGAAGCATCTTACGAGAAGATGCTTAAGCTGCGTCGAGATCTGAGTCGTGCAGTAACCATCCTGGAGATGATAAAGAGGAGGGAAAAAAGCAAGAGGGAGTTGCTGCATTTAACACTGGAAATTATGGAAAAGAGGTAATGTTATTGAAAGTTTGTTGCAGAAAGCTTGGAATCTACCTTGTATTCAGATTCCCACAAATACTTAAAAGAGTGAGAGATTGTTAAAGTAAATATTTAGACTCTGTCATGTTTACATGATAGTGTATTTTCACATATGGCTATGAAGAGCAAAATAAAAGTTAGGAAGTTGCTTACTATGGCAAGTGAACTGTCACGCTAATTTACATTGGTTTATTACATGTGTACATCTATTCAAATTTATGTATATATCCTATGTATTTTACAGGAGGAGAGATCATAGTTTCAGGTGAATCCATCTGGAAATTGTGTTAAACTTAGGTGTGTAGATTAAGGAAATCCCAGCTAATTTTAAGGCCATTTCCAATCATTACCATTCTTGTTTTTCATTATTGCTGTTTGTTTTTTAGCAAAGGTTGATCTAATACCCTCTTGAGGAAAACAAATAAGCACATCATACATTACAAAATGTTGTTTTGCAAGTCATCTCCAACTAGTGCTTCTTTTGACATCCTGTTTGTCAGCTGTGCTAAAGACCAAATGCTCTGCTCTGTCAACTGTCACTTTCCCAGTCAACTGAGAATCACATTTGCAATGTGGAGCTGTTCTTCAGGTTGATACTTAGAACCTGAATAGACTTCACTAGCTTAGACATGTATGTTTGAAAACAAATGTTTTGAGTCAGTATCTTAAAGCTCTAAAACTAATTTTTTAGTCTGGCTTCTTAGGGATGCAAGTTCAGTGTCTCTACTGGGGCACTTTCTTCAAGCACTGATGGTTTCCAGTAGAAATAGTGGAGAAATCTTAAAGATTTTCCAGTAGCTTTTTCAAGAAATTCAGCTGTTGGATAGAGGAAAGACTCTAACGCCTCCCTCAGAATGGAAGACTGCATTTTAACTCAGCGCTTTCCACAGGAATTGAAATGTAGTATGTTTCATGGATCTACTTGTTGTGAAAATACTCCATAACACAAAAGAGGGAGGATTCGTGAATAAGACACTCTGCCTCACTGTTTGAAACCTTTTGGGTAATAACTGTATGATTTCAAATGGTACCTGTCCCCAGGTGAGAGGGGAGGGAAACACTTTCCTGTTCTCTCCTTCTAGTTTCTGCTTCTTTCCTCTACAGTATTATCTTTTGGAGATGTTCTACAGGCTTTACAGGGTAGTTATCCTTTTTATTTGTCAGCATTGATCATTGCAATGAATTTTCCATGTTATTAGTCCCCCTTTCTGGAATAGTGTTTTCTGTACTTCTTGCTGTCGTGTTGGATGTCCTTTTAGCCCAAGCTGCAATTACTAGTCTGTGTTTCTCGGTGGTGCGCGTTTTACCAGATGTATATTGTAAACATTCCAACAAATAAAAAATTCTGATTTCAGGTATAATTTGGGTGACTACAGTGGAGAGATCATGTCTGAGGTCATGGCACAGCGGCAGCCAATTAAACCTACCTATACTATTCCCATCATTCCTGTGACTAACAGCAGTCCTTTTAAACACCAAGAAGCTATGGAATTGAAAGAATTTAAAGTTAAAGTGAGTAGTGCCAGTAACTCAGTTACTAGTTCATGCTGTTACATATGCAAGATGCAGTATTTTAGGGTTGGAGGAGGGGGAGAGCTTTTTGAAACTGGAAATAGAGTAGCGAAACTGCAATTAGAATAAAATGCTTTGTTCTGTTGGAGTTAGGGGGATAACATACAGACTACTGGCATTCCTCAACACAGAAATAAAGGAAGTATAGACTAAGTACAGACGAAAGGACACGTGCAGTTGTATTCTTATGGGGGATACGAACATTTTTCTCTAATACTATCCATAAAGTTAGGATATCCTGAACAAAACTGTATCTGTTTACCTATATATTTGACAAAGACAGGACTAACAAGGTGAAATCCATATCTTGTTCCAAATTATGTAGTTAGTTTATTCTGGAGGGTTGGGTTTTGTTTTGATTTTTTTAAGTATGATCCGCTGATATTCCCAGCATGCTGTGTATCTTTTTCTGGTTTTATATTTAAGAAAAGTATCAAATAATCTTACTTGATTTAGGCAGCTGACTGGCATTTTTTTCCCTGCAGGCTTTAATTTTGTGTCATACAAAGCATAGCTGCAGTGCCAACAACTGAGCATATTAAATAGGTCAGGTAACGCAGGAGAAATGCTGAGGTATAATCTGAATTTTAAACAAAGACTACTTATAACTGAAGAGTGTCCAAATGCTGTTCTGAATCTGACAAGGTGGCTTGAATCAGTGAATACTTCCATTGATAGCAGAGCATTCTAATTGAGGTTGCTGGAGTGTACTTGCCTATTACTGATGTTGGGTCAATGCAGTGTCTTGCACCTTGAAAAAAATCTGTTTCTTGGAAACTTGGGAAGTGCACTTAAACTTGACTTTACATAGTATGAGGAAGTGTGTTTAATTTTTAGAGGATTTCCTGAGATTCTAGGTATCTTTGAGAAGTCTAACTTCTATTTTTGCCTTTAAAGCATTGTTTGGTAGTTAGTGATTCCCTAACACTGCATAAATGGCTAGTAATTTAAAATTTTAGAAAATATAAAAGATGCCTCAGGGAGATCATTGTATATATTTTAGTCTACTTCTCCAAAGTAGTACTGTTAACCGCTAGTGTTTTATCTAGCACAGATTGAGCAAACAATGCTTGATTCCACCTTGTCTCTTAAACGTTTCAGTTACTGGAAATGAAATACAGATGTTCATGAAACAACTCCATGTTTTGCTATCAAGATGGTGGAGAGAAGAGTTCACTTTTTAACTTGCTTACACAGGAATTTTCTCAAACTTCTGTTTCAGTCTAATTTGCGTGTGTGTGTGTTATTACACTGCTTGTTTTTTTTTCTTACAGCAAGATAAACCTGATGTTATTAGACCCAAAAGAAAGTATGAGAAGAAGCCAAAAGTCTTACCTTCGTCTGCTGCTGCTGCTCCTCAACAGACAAGTCCTGCTGCACTGCCAGTCTTTAATGCTAAAGATCTGAATCAGTATGATTTTCCTAGCTCAGATGAAGAACCTCTCTCCCAGGTAGGACTTCTAGAGTTCTATGCTGCTCTTGGGGGAAGAATAGAAGTAGAACTCATGAATTTATTAATATCTCTCCCCATACACCCCCCATCCTCTCTTTAAAGGTTTTATCTGGTTCTTCGGAGGCTGAGGAAGAAAATGATCCCGATGGTCCTTTTGCCTTCCGTAGGAAAGCAGGCTGTCAGTACTATGCTGTAAGAGGAATTTCCTTATGTATCATAAGACAGAGCATAATTGTGGGAAAATACCTTGTGTTTAATTGTTTAAAATTATTTTAAGCCTCATTTAGACCATCCTGGCAACTGGCCATGGAGTAGCCCTAAAGAGGGAAGATTAGGAGATGTGCGTTACAGATACTGCTTAACCACCCTCACTGTACCCCAGAGGTGTATTGGGTTTGCACGAAGACGGGTCGGCCGTGGTGGAAGGTAAGTGCTACATAATTGTTGCTGGTTTTAAAAACAAAATTAAAAAAGCAAAACAAAACAAAACCCCAAAACCAACCTACCAAAACCCAAACAGTAAGCCATAAAGAGCGAAGTTTAAAAAACCAAACCTCTCAAAAATGGAGACGTCAGAGAGATTGACTTTTTAAATACTTCCGTTTGATACAAGTTTCCTTATCTGGTTAATGTCTTCATTTAGTGGAAACCACTTTAATACTCTTTTCTTAAGTGGTTCTGGGGTTTTTTCTATTGCTGGCACTCCCAAGTTCTGAGGTGAAAATACATGTATGTTTTCCATGGTGGTTGTTGGTTTTTAATTTAAATGATTTGCATAGTACTCTTCAAATAGTAGTTATTTAAAAATAGCAAAACCCACATTTTTCAGAAAATGCTTTTCTGAGTTTGGATTCTATTTTGTAATTTGCCAGCTATAGAGAATTTTGGGAGCAATGCTTAAAAGTGACAATAACTGTTAAATTTCAAACATTGTCAAAAATACCAAAGAATTAAGGACTTGGGCATTTTGCTTCTAAGCAACTTTATCAAACAATTTATAAATTGTTCAGTGTGTAAGTGCTATTTCTTCAGTATTGTATGGTGTCTTTAAGAAAGTGGTACATTGGTATTAAATTTTAATTTAAAAAATGTAAGAACGTGATTTGGTTTTCAGATTCATGCTTAACACATCTTCACATATTAGCAAGTCAGATTAGCATTATCAGCACAATCGGAATGGGAGCTGAAGGCTCTTATTGGGAAAATCAATTTAAATAGCAAGGGGGTTTGGAAGTTAATGTGTGACATCCCCACTGCATTGGGATGGTTGTAGGTATATTCAGTGTATATGGGAGTAAGGCTTTTGAACTGAAGTTACTTTAGGAGGGCATTTAAATTGATTTTTGGTTACTTAACAGTTTGATTTTATTCTCTTAAGTTTTTTGTCTTTGCATTGTGGAACTCTTTATCTTCCAGCCTGATGATGTGTGTGTTTTTTTTAAATTATATATGTTGTTGCAGTGTCTTAATACATACATGGCAATGCACATCAGCTGTTGAAACAGTAAAAGCTAGAATATACATGTGAAGAAGAGAAACCTAAACATACTACTTACTGTAAAATAATACATAGTCATGCATTGTGTTTGGGGGAGGATTGTGTGTTCTGGTACAGTTTTGTGTAGTTCCTTCTATCCCTTTGTCATCTCCACGCACATGTGGCAAACTGGTGACTTTCTTGGTATTTTCTTGCCACTGTGTAATTCTGCATTGTTTTCCTGTTTTTAGGGTGCTGCTAGACAGAGCTCATTCGGACTATGATAATACATTTCATCAGCTGGATTTGGAAATGTTTTCCTCATCGCAACACTCTTCAATCAGTCAATTAGCCAATACCTCAGAAACAAATACCTCGGACAGATCTTTCTCGAAAGACCTCAGTCAGATACTAGTCAATATCAAATCATGTAGATGGCGGCATTTTAGGCCTCGGACACCATCCCTACATGACAGTGACAATGATGAACTCTCCTGTAGGAAATTGTACAGGGGTGTAAATCGAACAGGCACAGCACAACCTGGGACCCAGACATGCAGTACCTCTATACAAAGTAAAAGTAGCAGTGGTTCAGCACATTTTGGTATGTTTATTTTGACAAACTTGCTTCTAGAAATTTTAAACTTGGCTCAGAAAATCCAGAACATCATTAGGTCATCCATACTGTACATCATGGTATATTTTGATGGCAACAGCACATCTTCACTTTTACCTCTTTATTTGCTACATAGAATGTTTATTTGTATTTATTACTAGCAGTACTGTACTGCATCTCAAATTTATGCAAATGCTACATTGGTATGTAATTATGATTTTAGAAATACGAAGGTCTAGAAACCAGTATTGTGTAAAGTTTAAGTTGACTCTGAAGATCTGGGTTTTTAAAATTAAACGTATGTTGATTGAAATGTTGATATAAATGTTACATTCCAAATTTTTTCTAGTATAAGGTGTGGTGGTGATGGGAAATATTTAGTTAAAATGTTTGCATTTAAAATCCCAGCATGTTATGAATTCTTATTTGAACTTCCATGAAATTAAATGCTATTTCCCATCCAAAAAATACCCAGCCCACCCCCAATTTCTGCTAATGTGTAGCAAAACTCTTGGTCTGATCACCTCTACATCTTGTCAGCAAGTGGCAGATTATATTTTACAGAACCTGAATTACAGAATTGAGGACCTGACTCATGGTGTTAATTGTTTTTTAATTGGAATACTATTGGATAGCATCACTCTATATTGGGTTCTTCACACTGGAAGACTGATGTGAAGTAGTTAGAATGTAACTTAAATAACTCTTGATTTTGATCAGTCAGTACTTTAAGTGTCATCTTTTCACAGAAAGTGACATAGTTTTTTTACAAAGAAATAATTTTAAAAGTTCACCACCATTTTGTAAGGATTCTCTAGAATCATGTTTTCCTTGCCATTTTGAATTATGACTTTGGAAATAAACTAGAAAACCTGGATAATGTAGGAGTGGAGTGGGGAGAGATGCATATACCTAATAAACTCCCCAAATTGTGGGATGTTTTGGAGATTTGCTCAAACAGGGAGTGTTACCCTGGTATCTGATTGCTTTAATACTCCTGTTTTCCAGTATGTTTTGTACCTTACCTCCCTGTACCACCTGGGTTGGTTTGGTTTTTTTTCTGAAAATTCTTCTTCCTTGCATTTTTAGACTTAGTGGGCAGCTTTATTCTGCTTTATTTCATGCTTCCTCTCCATGCTATCTTAGAGTAGGTCCTTGCCCCCATCCCCTGTTCTTTTCCTCTTTTATGATTCTTCTTGCTGGAAATGTATTAGGGCTAAAACTGATGATTCGTTTGTGATCCAAGTACAACTTTTTGATGTTTAAATTCTGCCCCTCCAGCTTTTCAAATCAGTAAATCAAGTCCAGAACTGAATGAGAGTATCCTCTGTCTAGTAGCCGGTCTGGATAAAATGGTATAGTGATAAGATGTGATTAAAATGGTAGTGAGGTTACTAGTGTGAAAACAAAACTAACGTGCAATGAATGGATTATAAACACGCTATAAAGTATTAATGGGCAGTACGTTACATCTGAAAATCGTGTAGACTTGAAAAACTGGCTGATTGAGTTTAAAGCATATGTCTGTGTGTGTAGATGAATAAACACACACACCCCCCCCACCCCACCCCCCACCCCCAGTCTTTTTTCCTTAAATAGGTGATTAAGATATTTATCTACATCCTTTAGGAGTTAAATGCAATTGTTTGTTTATGGTGGAGTTCCATACAAGATTTGAATTGTGTGGTTGTATTTTGAAGGCTGTGGGAAAGTAATACATACGTATAAGTACCTAGCGTATTACATTCATTTGTGCTTGGAATTCTATGCAGGTGGTTTATCATATGTGTAAAATACTTAAGTTAGTATTCCAAACTTTTTCCAAATTCAAATATTGTGGAGTTTAGATTCATATTTTTATTAGAGTTTGGTACAGGAATGAAATAATAAAAGCTATGTCTGAATTAATAGATATACTTTGGTTACCATGGTCTTTGGATAGTCACTTGTTATTAATATAACCAGGTAGATTGTACCTGTATAATTATTTATAATCTTAATTGAGATTCTTGTAGCATTGGAGTTGTATATGAGTTTGGCATAACGATGATTGTCTGTGTAGGTGTTTGAAAGGAGCATATGGTCTAGTTCATCTTGGTGCCGTTCTGTTTTTTAGTGTTCTTTTTCCAGTTTCTTAAAGGATTCGTTAACATACATTGTCTACACAGATTACGGTGTGTTTGTATGTCTCATGTATGAATTTGACTTCTTCAAAGGTGCATGTCTGTTGGAGCTGCAGCTGCTGAGTTATGTCTTACTTTCTGTAGCAAATACTGTGAAGAACATCAGGTATCTAACATGTGTAGTGAAGTTCTTCTAATAGTCACTACTGCAGATTTACAACCTTGTAGAGTGTCCCTGTTCCTTTTTCTTAGCTGTCTTTAAAGCTACGAGTTTGTTGTGGATGTAGATTTTTTTTTTTAGGTTTGTTTCTCTTTGCCTTTCAGGTTTTTGAAGTGGCAATAGGTCTTTTTACCAGATAACACTTACTAATGCATCTCTATTTTTAAAAATCCTTTTATTGTTCTGCTGCTACAGTGAATTGTGGTCAAACCATATTGCTTACCTTTATGAAGCTGATACTGAGTTTCTGTAGTGGCCAGCAGAGGTGGTTGTGTTGCTGTGTTTATCATGCACCATCATGTGATAAGTTTTGTCTGTTTCTATATTAAAGAAGTTTAGAGACATCTTGAGCTTTTTCCACCTTGAATGATCCAGACAACATGCTACTGATACAGAAAAAATTGCTGTGGAAAACCTTGCTTTTCAAGTCTGTTATACATGGCCAGCACAGGCACGAAGTTGAAATGGTATCTCAGACCTTTTGTTAATCAGAGGACACATTATAAAAGCTATGTTGTGATATACCGTTCTCTGGCTACAGGAAGCATTGTTTTTCATTCTGAAGGTGGGAGAGAGATTTCCCCAAAGAGCCAGGTGTTTCATAAACATTTTGAAGTGCCTTTGACCCTGAAGAAATGCAAGTTAATTCTGGCCCTGGCTTTCAGAGTGCTCAGCGTAAAAGATCTGTGGAAGATGAAGTTGTTGCATTGAGATTTTGTGTGTAAAGTGAGAAGAGATGTCTTTTTTAAAAAAAAAAAAAATCCTTTGCAAGTTACTTGAAAACGGTGCTGGTACTGGACTGGTCATGTGCTGAAGGTTAGATTTTAGCAGCAGGATCAAGTGGCCAAGAAAAGTAGCATTACTTCTGAAGAGGGTGATTTCTTTTCATCTTACTGAAGAATTACAAAAAAGCATCCTTTGCTCTCTTGCAAAAAGAGCTGATTTAAGGATCTTCAGGCATATGTTATACAGAACACCACTAAAAAGCAGGCAAGAGTATAGAAGCAGAATTTTTGTGGAAGAGTAACTATTTCAGTGGGGAAGCTATTCATTCGGAACAAAATCCAACAAAATTTCTTCAGAAAAGGAACCTGTATTGCTGACAGTGTTACCAAGTTTCGGAATCATAGTCTTTGGAGATGGAGCTTGTGTCTTAAGTCTGTAGTGTACAGTAGGCATGAATATTCATCTGAAGGATTTGTATCCCAGGAATTTAGTCTTCCTTGTTAGATGAATTGATTGATCTAGTTCTGCCAGGCAAATGGTAATCTTCAAAGTGCATCACATTATAGGCAGCCTGTGCTTTCTGCTGGAGGCTTGCTGTTAAATATGTTACGTTCATATTTTTGTATGCTTGCATCTAGTAATCAAAGGTTTGAAACATTTAAAACTGCACAGCATGTATAATTCTGTTGCAGCCTTGTGTTTAGGAGGCAGACCAGAGGTGCCAGTCACTAGTGAAAAGATTTGAGCACTGGTTCTCAGGCTCAACTTGCCAGTAAGAACAGGCAACCATCTTGCATTCTGTTCTTTTCTGCCTTCTTCATCCAGAAGCTGTGTCACTAAAAGAAAGTCTGCAAGCTGTCAAGACTAAAGAGGCTAGCAGTTAACTAGAGTCTGCTCACTGAACTTGTAATTCTTTCTTTCTTTGAGAAGAAGCTTAAGTGTTCTAATGTTTGGGATTGTAGACCTTACTGTGTATGGAAAACTGTAGGCATCCAGAACATAGTTAAAGAATTCAGAGTAGCTTACCTTGCATTTTCTTGTAAACTAGGGATTTAGATGATGCGCCTCAAGATGCAAGGCCTTTGACACTGTCCCCCATGG